CACGCGCGCCGGCCGCGCGGCCCGCTGGGAAGCGGGGGGGCCCTTGGGGGGTTCTTTTAGGGAAAAACGCCCGTGTTTTCAAAAACTAGAGTCTTCGCTCGGTCCTTGCCCTGCAGACCTTGGGCCGGTCCAGGTCAGGGCACCTGCGCCCCCCCAGTGCCACCCATCTTCGCCCACCACCACCCTTCCCCAGGCAGGAGAGAGCAAAAACAAGGTGCTAGAAAACACATTTTTATTGAATGAACAAAAGTCTAAAAGTTTCCCGGTTTTGGTTAACAAAAGCAGCAAGCTACAAAACCCCTGCATTCCATGACAAGTTTTTTTCTATGTCAAAAAAAAAAAAAAATCAACCCTTGATCAGGTTATGGACGGTCGTCCACAGAAAGGCAAAACTGTGGAGATGCCTGTCGCTCAGCAAACCGCCACATAAACCTCCGCGTACAGGTAACGGGCCCGGGGCCGCAGAGCCGAGCTGCCCGCGGCCGGCGGGCGCAGCGGGAGGGCGTCACCTCCGCACAAACCCAAGGAGCAGCGTGAGGAGAGTCTGGGAGGAGTTGTAAGGCTGAGGGAGGAAAGGAGCTGCCGGGGGAGCACAGTGCTCAGCTAGCTCACCTGGATAACGGGAACTGCAGCTTTTTCTCAAAAACAAAAACGAGAACAACACTATTTTACAATCATGTAGTAAGTGCTAAGCGGATCAGTGCTCTCAAGAGTTTCCAGGATAAGAATTCAGCTACTGTAATAACCACAATCCAGCAGGAACATCCATCCTTTTCCCCAGGCTTTTCCTGCTGTGGGGCTCTCCTCACAGCCTACTGCAGGCTCCCAGCTTAGAGAAAAGAAAAAGGTATCCCCTTGACAAAACAGGATTATCTGATTGACAAAAGTCTACCAAGGACTGGATTGAGAACATGAACTCACCTCATGAATCTGACAGGGGTTTTTAACATATATAATTTGGGTTTTGTTTTTTTTTTTTTTCTTTTTACTGGACATTGACAGCCTTAATAAAATGGAGTGTTAAAGAGAAGGGCAATGTTTACTTCTATCCTTATACAGTATTCAGAATAACCCTTTTTGTAAAGTCATATGGTAAATTTTCATGCTTTTGAGTACTAAGATTTTCAATTTTCAGTTTTCTTTTTATTACACTTAAATCTGCTTTTTGGTTTCCACAGGTCAGGACATAGTACAATTATTTCAAAAGAAATGATTGATTTTGCTATCATATATACTTTTGATTTCAAAAGTACAATTATCTGTGCTTATCTGTCAGTTTATACATCAGATCTCACCCACTGTAACCATATAGTTAGATATACTTAATAATTACGAAGCTGTATCTTATACCATAATTTCTATTCATACGTATTCTAGGACTAATAGATCCCTACCGTATCATGATTAAAACTAACTCTTTTATTCTAAAGTTAATTTTAATCATTTCCATCATAATCATTGTAACTCTGATACCCACTGTTCCTCCTCTCTCGGAGATTAGATTTCTTCCACGTAGATTCCTGATGAAAACCAGCACTAAAAGACCTACCCAGTCGTCCATGTTGTTTCTTAGATATATTGTCTTCACTCTCAGATTTGGAAATACCCTGTCCTTGTGATTGGGTTTGTTTATCCTGCCTAACACTTCCAAATGGAAAGTTCCAAGGACCAAATCTTTGCCAGTTAAGTCTCTGAAAGGCGATGATGCAATGAAGATTTCCTCCCACCTAGACAAAGTAAAAAAGTTCTTTGTTATAGGCTCACTTATAACATAGATATTTGAAATAAATACCTTCAAAACTAACAGAATAACAAAGCAAAAAAAAAAAGAAAGAAAAACAAAACCCAACCCTCTGCTCCATATCTTTTTTTTTTTTTTTTTTTTTTTTTTTTTTTTTTACATTCAGCTACTATCTGGAATTACATTTAAGTTATCCACTGTTTGCACGCAATTTATGTACCAAAAGCATTAGTCTATTATTTATCTGTAGCCTATTTCTGCCCTTGCTGCAGCCAGAATTTAAGCCAACAAGGTTAAATATTGCAACCATAAATACTGTATATACAGACATCCCTGTTCACTCCTATGCTGCGTAGTGTCCTGTTCTGCAAGTAAATATAATTGACAGGTCTGTAAGTAGAGCCGTTTGACTTCAGCAATACTTCACATTACTGAAGAAGTTCAGAATTTTTTTTAGCAAAGCTATCTTATAATGCTGAAGTAGGAGTATGCTTGCTGAATATCTGTCAGCTTTCTCCCATCTTAGAAAGTTTACCTTACCTTCTTTGTTTTTCGGTGCTGTAATCCTCTCTCTAGGTGTCGAATATCTAGGTATTCTGGATTTTGAGTGTTTAGATCAGTAACAATATCTGTCCACCTACAGAATAAAATATATTATAAAATATATATTTATATATATTTACTTATAAAAATCTCAGCACCACTAAGACTAAAGCTACAAAAATGTATCTATGTGTCTATATGCATGAAATAGCCTAACAGTGACTTAAAGGTAAATTAATATGTAAAGATACAAAAGCCTCAGTACTGCAGACATCAAGCTAGATACAGAGGCTTCAGTTCTAACTGCATCATCCAGAGTCATCAGTGCTGCTCTTGGGAAACAGCTTCCCAGCTGAGTAAGAGCACTTGCTATGAGTCACTATCAGCACTCCTTGCCCTTAACAATTTGCCATTTTGTAAAAGGAAGCAGCAAGGTGGTTAGGCAAAGAAACACATTACCTTTTTATTGTATTTAACCAGCTCTTACCCTTTTATAGTATTTCATTTGAACCTTTGTTTCCTCATCCATTAAACCCATTTTTATCAGGCTGCTCTGACCAAAACCTGCTCCTTCATTCTGCCTAGTTCCCCTCTTTAATAATCTATCAGTTCAATCACTTCCCATTCACTCAGCTCTTCAGAGTTTCATAGTTCCTTTTAGCCTAACTGAAATATATTCAAAACAATTTTAAGCCTGCCTATATAGCACCTTTTCATTTCTTTCAATTCTCAATCTCCAAGTAAGTTTGTTTTTTTTTTCTTCCCCTTTTCTTTACATCACCCTCCCAACTCAGGCAAAATGTTTCCACTGCAAACTTTTGCCCCTCCGCCTAAAACACACAAATTTTTGCTAGCTCCTGGTGTGGTCGAAGATGGAAGAAAAACTTCTTGATAACCACAAATAATATTAGAGGTTGGTATTCCATATTCAAGAAGCTTTTCTTATTCTATTTGTAGCTCATTATACCACCAGAAAAAAGATCTATCAGTGGGATACCAGTACTCCACTTCTTAGTAGAGGAAACACATGCCTAGTCCTATTTTTATTTTGTTGTACTTAAATGCTCATTGGTGCTGTTTTTCTTTCATATTCACACCACTGACCTAAAGCTTATCTGAGTCTTAGATACTAGGATAGATCTGACATACCAGGAAACAGAGAAGCACTTAAATTTTTTTTTTTCTAAGTATTCAGGAGAATTAAGAAACAAATAATTCTTTGACTTTCCCCCTCCACCACCCAAAAGGGGGGGAAAAAAAAAAGTCACTCTATAATTAACTGGGGGGAGGAGAAAAAACAAACAAAAAAACCCACTCCATAATTACACAGGGAAATTAACTTTCAACTCAGATTTTGTTATAGATTCGTTGTTTTAATGCACACTTAAGCTACTACTGCAAAAGGTTGCAACTGTACCTAGGGCTGAGCAGAGGCCTAAGGGCAGCATGGTGGGTAATGCTTACCCAAGACACAGTCAGGTACTTCCACAGCAGCAGCCTAAACAGAGCTGAAGTTCACAGAGCCTGACTAAACTCCAGCTGGCATGGCTGTGGAGAGCGTGGGTGTCTTTTCTGTCTGATTGATCTCAGCTGCACACTGACACACAAGAAAACTGCTTTGGCTCTCAGGAGCCTATACATGCCTGTGTGCAGTATAGGTCAGCCTGTCTTCCTACTGGTCTGAAAGCCTAGAACCAGCCTTGAGGTTACTGAAAGAACAAAAAAAAACAGAGCAGCAGGTCTGCAGATCTAGTCTCGTACTAATTGTAAGAATTACTGGTTTCTCAAGTGGAATAAAATAAGTTGCAAAACAAGAAGTCTCTCTGTAGCGTTTTTGTTTCTCTTATTCATTTGAAAGAACTGAAAAGTCACTTTATGGTCCATACCATGGAAATGTATATTCTTTTTAGAAGAAAACCCATGGCTTTAAATTCTTACCAAGTAACCTACCTCTTACAGTGTATCGTTGGATGTTTCCTGCTCGGCTCGCCAATTAAGATCCAGTATTCCACTTCTTGCTGCAATACTCGTCCTCTGTTCAACAGAAGATACAATCCTAGTAAGACTTACTGGATATGCTAAGAGAAAAAGGAAGATTAACATTCTATCACTGTTTAAGGTATTTTATATAATTTAAAATTGCTTCCTCGGCAAAAAAAAAACAAGTAACAAATTCTTGTGCTACAAATATTGTATGCGATTGCATACATTGAAGCTTTTAGTTTCACAAGACCTGGACACAAGGTTACTCATTACTCAGAAAAGAAAAAAAGCTCCATCAAAAATAATTTTACTCTGTTGAAAGGCAGTCTTAATGTAAGACCTAAATAAATAGAAGCAATGGAAACAGAATTCTGAAAAGACTGGTGGAATCCTCAAAAGAAACAGTGGAAGAGGCCTTTTCATTGCTCTTAAACTATATCCCAGCTGACAGTTGTCACCAACAGTCGTAAAGTAACCTATATGAAATGAACTGCTGATTTTAACAGCTTCATACCAGACATTCATCAAAACAACAACTCAAAATAAAGCAAGAAAAACCCTCAACTGATCATAATTGAAGTTTGTGAAGCAACTTTCAAGCTCCACAGAGCGTGCAGTAGATTTCCCAGGGACGGCCTGTGACAGACATCTGGCACACTGATGATGCAGAATCCTGCTCTGCAACCTTAGGTGCATGATTAGCTCGTGAAAACTACTTCAGCTTCAACAGTGACAAGAACTGAGACTTTTTCTCATCAGTTCAGCGATTAGATAGTATATGGCCTTATTATTTGCCAAGTTTTATCCATGGAATACCCTGTGAAGCAATAATACATGCCATCACTTTGTAGATGGGACACCCAACACAGGACAGATTGACTTACCTAAGGTCACACCGCAAGTCTGTGGTTGAACTGGGAACTGAACCCAGGTCTCCCGAGTCCAAATCCAGCAACCTAAGATCATACAGGAAGTCCGTGCGTGACCTCAGAGCTCTCTCTTAATCCCAGCCTAGCAACCTATTCACTGATTTCTTTTGAAACTTAATTTAAATTCTAAATAAAAGAATTAACTACTATTAACTACTGTGGAAAAAAACAGGTAAGTAAGAATTACTGTAAAATCTATTAATGGAGCTGCTGGAGTCTATAAGCATCTTTTCCCAATCATATAGTAGAAGGGGACAAAGAGGACATGGTACTCTTACGATCTGACCTTCAGACTAATATAAAACTAGAAAAATTCCTCCAGCTAATTATTTCACACAAAGTTTTTGGGAGAAATCCGTTTTTTTTTTTTTTTTTTTGGGGGGGGGGCGGCATTTCTGACTTAAAGATTACATCACTACCACTACAGAACTCATTTCAAGCACTGCTGAAGTATTCAGATTGTTGATTTCTCTCATTACTAAACAATGAGAATACAAATCTATTAAGTTTCCAGTCATTGGACCATATCATTTCTTTAATTTCTAGTAGGCAAAAAAATTCTTCATTTCTCTTCTACTGCAGGTACTTGGTCAGATATTAAGCAAGCAGGCCATTAGCTTTTTGGTAAACATAAGCAGACTGAGCTGCTGAATTTCCATCGGGGGCATTATTTTCCAAACTTGTCTCACTCACATGGCATGTGTCAGTGAATGCAACTTTAATAAAAACATCTGTATTCTTTTGTTCGTACATTGAAAGCTTTCACCGACACCTTGTCTCAGTCTCACACTGGGAACAGACTAGATTTAGGTGCTTACACTTTATCACCTCCAAACAATTATTATTTTGAACTCTAGAATTCAAGGCAGCATTCTTCATTCCCTCACGTGACACTGCTTCTTTAACAGAGCCAAACGCAGCCTGTGTGGTAAGCAAAGGTTCACTGTACTTCAGCGACCTCCTCTTCATTGCTTAGCATCCCCTACAGTCAGTATCTTCTGATTTTTGTCAGACATTGTTTCCTTATGCTCATTGGTAATATATATTTACCAACGGCTGAGCCACAGTTAAGTCTAGCAGAAACATCCAAAACATATTGTGGTTACAACTACTTTGAGACAACTAAACAAAAAATCTGATTCTACGAATGATTTAAAGGTGAACTATTTTCAGCATATGAGACAGTGACAAGTTAAACGTCTTGAAAAACACTCAGATATACTGCCTCAAGACTTCAAAATTTGTAAACTTAGCAAACTTTGTACTTTCATGAAAGGCTTTTCACAAACCTTATTTCAATATCAGTATTATCAGATAATCTTCTAACTTACATTACCTAACTATCTTTTAACTCATTTTTAATTGAAACCCATTATCAGCTATTCCATTATTTCATCCTGTCAGAGTTTGTCACCTTGAAAAACCTCAAATCATTCATCACTAGCAAATTAACTTTCTTCTGGTCTTCTAGTGCTTCTAGAAGCATTCTTTTTGGAATGCTCCAGCATTCCAAAATATATTAGAAGTAACTGCCCCTTCTACATCTAGCTAAAATGTCTTTTAAAAAAATAATACCATTCATAGTTTTTTGATTAAATTCTCTCACCCGGTTGGATAAGTTGTGTTTAGCTTTGTAAAATCAAGCCTTTAAAAGTACACAAGGTAGTATTTTGCTAGCTCAGACATAAATGTCTTTCCAACTTGCACTGCAATACTATTGAGGGAAAAAAATAGTATTAACTTGCAGCAATTTTCTGTAGATTTTCTCTATCACAATAAAAATACTAACAATATCTCACCTGTATGCTTTACTAGCTTTTACAGGAGTTGCTTCAAATCCAATTGGGCAAAAATAATGATTTTGGCAATGGTAGATGTAGGCCATTGATTCATCTTTCAGTCCACGTGTTAGCTTTGCCAGGGCCCCTGTAGCTACAAAGAAAGATCAAGCCATAGTACAAAGTGCTTTTGATCCTGTATTACACATTCAGCAGAAAAACCTACGTGATAATATAAAATTTGCATAATTGCATACTTTTTATTTTAAAATAAAAAATAAAAAAGGAAAAAATAGACAGGCACATACAAAACAGAATTTTGGCTTAAAACCTGTAGCTTAGGATTCTATTTCCTGCATGGCACAAAAACATCTGCCATATCACTGGGTACAAGGAAAGATAAAGCCTATGTTGTTTTCAGAACAAAGTCATACCAGAGATTACTTGCCCTGCAAAATAAGAACCACAAGCATCTCTAACTTGAGAGAGATACTACAATGTACAGGAAGCCCATTGCCCCAAGTCAGATGCAGCATATATCAGAGCCAAAATTGCAACTACTCAAAGCTTTCAAACATTTTTCATATCATGAGCTTCTTAGAGCTTCATAGTCTTGGAAACAACTCCCACATACGGCTACACCATATTCTGTAACATAACTAATTGCTCAGTTTCAGGAACAGAGTGGAAAAGCACTGAAACATGAAAGAACTGTCAAATGGGATGTCAAAGGGGGAAAAAAAAAGCCTGAATGTACAACAATCCTAAGGCAAAGAGCAATTTGCTAATGTTCCCACTTTAAAGAATTCCACACAACTTATCAGTAGTCCAATCCTTTCGAATTACCCTTTCAGTCTGAAGATAATTACCCAGACTACCCTAAAGACTAATAATCTGTAAACAAAAGTACAGTTTTTCTTCAGTTGACACACTTGCAGTGTATACACAAGGGAAAATTGTAGCTTCAGCAGCTAATTCGAGTAATCACCTAACATTTAGAGCTATATGACAGTTTATCTAAAACTCCAAATATAAGGATTATTTACACTGTTCTGTCAAATCTTACACATTATAGGACTTTTCCAGTATGCATATTGGAAGACGAATGCTTTAGGATTAGCTACTTACCAGTTTCTCCAGCTGTCTTGTTCTTCCCGTGAGGTTTATATAGAACGTATGAACATCCCTTTATATGGAAGTGATCATTTATTTGCCTAAACCACCTGAAACGATAAGCTTAAAGATTGTAGTATCTTAAAATCAGTAAGTGCAATTTTCTCCCACTCCTTGGCAATTTAGGAAAGAAATCTCACTGTGGTACCTACCACAGGCACTGAGTTCTCAGATGATCATGCTACCCTCATACAAATAAAGTATAACATCTAGAAAGCTATGTTAGTGTTTAAGGACTTCTCCTTCAACTTGTCTTTCCAGATCTGGCATAGATCTGTGCATAACCATCAAAGGACAAGATTTTAAACACATTCATCCTATTGTGTTCTGCCTAGTCCCATCTAACATTGAGAAAAAAGCTCAGTTTCCGAAGCACCACACTTTAAATACGGTTTGCATTCTAATACAGACACTAGAAGGCACGACTCTTTAGTGAGACTGCGTATCCTGTTTGGCTTTTAACACATGCAGTTCACAAACCTAAAGCATTTCAGAAATCTCATACCAGAACTCCTCACAGCAGCCAAAGTAACAACTGGTCTCAGATATTCACTGCATTTTTCTGCACTAGAAGATTCAAGTTCAAGTTCTTAAGACAGCACCTCAATTATAAAGCTATCTTAGGATGGATCTAGCTCTCAGCCCTCCTGATACCCTGACAAACTCCCAAGAGATACAAAATAAGATCAGTCTTTCAAGGCAGAGAAGGAAATTTTCATGACTATCTCAACAACCTAGCTAGTATGCTACTACTTACGAACAGATTGCTGCTGCATTTTCTAATTCGGCACTCATATGTTGTGCCAAACCACATATATCTATATATAAAACCTTCCAAACATACTAACTAGATAGGATACTACTGATAGAACAGGCAAAAGACTGTAACATTTTCTAATTTCACAGACGAGTAACACATTAAAATCCTGTCAAGATATTCAGCACCGTGCCAATACACTTCTGGCCCTGTTGGATTCCAAACTCTTTTTGAGTTCAGTAAAATGAAAAAGGACACAGACTTTTGGCCTAATCTCCAAAGACCAGTGAGCAGCAGGGCACAAGCTAAACAAAACTGTAAAATCTAAATGCTTTTTCTGATTCCACTCCCATTTCAGTTCCCTCTCCCACCCTAAGTCTTCTGTGATAGAGGTGCAGGGAACACTCGATCTCATTTTCAAATCTAAAGCTTTTTTTTTTCCAAGTTATTTGAATGACATTTAACATTTACATTGACATTTAACATGGCTTTTGAAGACAAGTGAACTAGTGCAAAAATCTTTCTTAATCAGCACACTTGTATTCATTACAATATTACAGTGTCACCAATCAAACTGAATGAAATTTTGTGTTCTCATGATTTGTGTATCAACATAGTGCCGTGAAGAATGGCTATTGCTCTGTTTCAAAAGTTCATCTGCACTGTCAGAGCACTAGATATTCTTCACTATTTGGAAAACTCAGATGACCAAATTGGAGCAGCCACCCCTCTATTTTTTTTTTAATTTTTCTTCTCCTAATAAACGAATACAACTGTTTTTAGAGATTCTAACTCTCAGCTTACTCATATTATTTTTGCATATATTAACACTTTGCCTGCATCAAGAGTATCACACATACCTCATCAAAGTTGTATTTCCAGTGAAAGGGCCAAATCTGATCTCCTCAAACGGTGGTTGAAAGCCCAGTATATGCAAAGCTTCCTCTTGAGTAATGGGTGGCAAACTTAAAATAAATAAATAAAGTTTAAGAAAGTAATAATAATAATAATAATAAAGCTATTTTAGACTGTCTGGAGATAAAGTGGTCCAAGAGCGACTTACCTTCCAGCCCCAAGTGTACTATATAAGAAATTCCAGCAAGACACTAGGGATGAAATTCCACAAGAAGTCTTGTACTGCGGTCGGCTAATACAATACCTGTTAAAAAAAAAAAATCACTTCAGTAAACAGTCCTGATTTAGCTATGTGAGCACCCTGAAGTATCTTTGTATAATGATTCTAATAAAAAGTGCATTATTTTTAAAACATTAAACCATTAATTGTGTCTGATAAACTACCTGAAGGAAACTATAATCTTGTTTCATACAAATGAGTGACCAACAAACTTCTAACATCTGCTAGAATATTCTGAATTAATGTTCTTGTAGGAAAAAAAAAATGATTGCATACCAATATAATACACAGTTTCAGCCAGTCTCTTTAACAGACAAGCTTTCAGTAAATTGAAATTTACTAATTAATGTGGTTCTGGGCCACAGGTTCTCAGGAATTTGATTTCACAATCTTACAGAAATGCAGTAAGTCTTAAGCATCAGGTGAATTCACTAAATTAAGTGAATTTAGGGAACTAAGACTATATGATATACATTCACAGGTTGGGTAAAATTAATAAATTTTGTTCAAGTATTTCCAAAACAAAAGAAAAATGGTAAAGTGATTACATTGAAGGTTATTTTTTCTGCCTGACCACACTGATGAATTTGCATTTTATGAGTAACAAGTGCACACATAGCTCATTTCCTTATTGACAGAGAAAATTGTTTGGAACAAAATGCTTCTATATGTTAACATATGAGAGGGAAGCTGTTATTCTCACCATCTTGAGAAAAGTATGTTAAACATATAAAGACTAAATCTCATACAGTACATCATACAGTATTTTTCAGAAAGAAAAAAAAAGGAGAGAGACTTCTTAACAAGTTTTAAATAAGATAATCAGCAACAGTGTTTACCAACAGGCTATACTGGGATAATCTTAAATACAGGTCAGAGATACTACCATCTTCGGAGGTCCAACACTTTCCTCTCCTTCACCTCTTCGAGAGCAGATCGCTGAGGACATTCCCTGTGCTGTTTGCTTTTTTTCTCTGAAGACTTTTTCTTTGTTACTTGTTTCTTCATGTTGCCTGGAAGACAAATTTCAGAAGCAAATGAGCTTCTGGTTTACCTTCCTCTTTGAATCTCTTTGAATTTTTTTATTAATAGTACGCCTCTCAAATAGATATGATAGCTCTAACTGACATGTAGATGATAGATACAGATGCCATTAAATGACAATCAGGACTAAACGCTAATTAAAGGAAAAGCTTAAATGAGCAATCAAGACTGTCAACAAATTTGTACAGCATTCACTAACCACCTAAGCAGCATCTTGCTTTTCTTGAGGCAGAAGGGACCATCACCTGTTCCACTGTGTGGACAGGACAGTCAACCTGACTACTTTCTAAGCCATTAAATCCGCCATCCCAGAAAAAGGATCTCTGAAAAAAATCTACCACATTGCTACCCCACTGCGGGGGACACCCAGGAACTGATCGCCAACACAAATTTCTCATTGCGTAATATTAAACACATGGGGAAATATAACTAAAATGTTTTTCATGCCCAAGCTGCATAGCCACACTTTTTGATGCAAACTACTATGCAGATTAAGTAAGAATAATATATCCCCAAGGTCTTTTCTTTTTTTCGTAAATGAGGCAGGGAAAAATTGAAACAGTTGAGCCACACCTTAAAGCAGGAGAATTCCTGTCCCCTTTTGAAACCATCAGATCCAAACGAAATACACTGCATATATTTTAGCAAAACTGACCTCCCTGTAAGATGTTATCATTGTTTCTTATTTTATTTAGGACACCACACGGGCAGGTAAAAAGACATGGCAATTAGACAAAAAAAAAATAAAGTTCTGCTAAAGTGCTTTCACAGTAAACAAAACTAGAGTTTGACTGGGCAGCCAACACATTATTGAAGAGCTGCAAACAGCTCAACCTAAGCAGAGGGATTAAAGGACAAAGAAGCCACATGCATGCAAATGCTTGAATGACAGCTGATACCTGTGATTACGCAGGGGAAGACTATGGAAAGCAGTAAAGGAAACAGTTCTCTAGCAATGGGTTTCCTAATATCATATACATGTATTTTGTATAAACATTTTGTGTATATATATATATATATATATATATATATATACACACACACACACACACACACAAACACACCTTCATTAAGCAAACTGCTTTCCTAGATAATTGAAATGATTCAATTTACTTATAAAAAACAAAGTCCAGTTCCTCTTTGAGTGCCAAATACAGACCGTTCTTCTACCTCTGAAGAACCTCTTAATATTTCTGCAAATCATATATCTGCATCTAGTCATTAAACATTATTACTGATGAAGTGGGTTCTGTTTTAAAAAAAGCAAAATATAAAAGCAAACCACAAACAGCACCAGCACAGCTAAGTAAAAGCCAGACTTGTTTTAGAGCTGTGTAGAGCTGCTTATTCAGCGAGCTACATTCGACTTGTACTCCTTTTTCACCCACTGCCTTCACTATCAGCAGGATCCTCCTGTTGTAAGAAATGACCTACTGGCTTTTCCACAGCACTTCACAGGGGGACAAAACA